CGGTAAAGCTCCTTCCATGTCTGCACAGTCCCACCTGCCCTTCCCTTCCCTCTGGAGTCCATTCTTCACTTCATTCATGCCCTCTCACGTCCTACCTGTAGAAACCGCACTTCTTCCTCCTTCCTTGCTACCTCCAGGACACGGCTCGCTGCTTTCAGCTTTACTCTCCCCGGTCACACCTCACATCCTCTGAAGACCAAGCCTTACTTGAGAAGAGCTAGCTTCTCACCACCAAAAAAAAAAAAAAAAAAAAAAAAAAAAAAAAAAAGAAGCCAATGGCTCCTCTACACCAGTGCTTCCCTTCTTGTTCCCTCCAGGGAAGTGGGGACCAGAGTGTGGGTGCTGAGACCATAAGTATCAGTCCATTTCTGGCCAAAGGTTTGGGTGCTTATTTAGAGTGGGTGCATCTCGAGTGCATGTGGTATGTACCAAGTTCCACCTTGTGGTGACACTGAGAATGGGCTTCTCCACAAAGGCCGGGGCAGCATGAGCAAACCTCCTTCTCTTCCCTTCATTGGTTTTCTTTGCCCATTCTACTTCCCTTCCAGGGTGCTTGAGAGGTGCAGAGTGACCTTAAAGTTTCATATACGAAGCGTTCTCCCCAAGTATCATGTTGTGGCTGTCCTTCAAATCACTGCCTAAAACCTTCCTCCGCTGGCATGCTGGCATGAAGACGTACGATGGGCAGGTTTCTGGTGCACTGAGATCAGCACTGTCACCCTGTCCAGTATTTCTCAGCCCCACTTTCTCTCTGTATCCTTTGGCTGTCTCACCCTGTCTGCAAGGTCTCTGGGAGGAGAACTGGTCCCTCCTCCAGCTCTGTTCTGATCAGTCCATGCAGCCCAGCCATCTTTCCCCAAAATAGGCTGGCTGTATCCAGACTGACTGACGGGAAGGATTGCAGGCCCATGCTACGTGCTAGCTTGCTATGGATCAAAACTGTGCTGGCAGATAAATGGTGCAGAGCCCCGGCCCTGGTTTGTACAGCCTAAGCCAAGTTGCCTGCTCAGACATTTCACAGACCATTCAAATTGTGACCTTTATTTGTGAAAATCTTCATGAATCTTTCTGCCAGTCTGGGTCACTCGAAGGGAACTTGGATCTGTGCACAGCACTGGCTGTGACCCATTGAAAGCTACTGCCCTGTGCTCTTAATGAAATCTAGGTAAAACACCTAACTGAAGTTCATCACACTCAGGAACTCAAAACCAGACTGAAGGTTTAGTTCAGTCCTTCCACTGGTCCCTCCATCATTGTGCACGTAGAGATTTGGCTGCTGAGTGAGAGGCACTAAAGCAACACTGGCTTGCAGTAAATTATAGCTTTTCCAGTAGCTGGTGTGAAAAGAGAGGGAAGAAAGTAATTGAAAAGAAGGATATCAACTTGATGGATAGGACCAGGACCAACATCCAGGACCACTCATGCAGCTTAGTTGCCTAACTAAGTCATGTTTCTGAGCACATGCTGATGAAGATGTTCTCTTCGTAAAACCAAAGTCAATTGTATGTGGGTCCCAACTCCATTGTTTTAAGGATTCTCTTGACATTTTCGTCAGGAGCTGAAATTTCTTCCACAGACAAAATGCAGGTCACTCTCACCATTCTGTAGCAGGGCAAAATTTGTGCAATAATTAAATTGCACAATTGAATTATGCAAAACTAGGGAAAAAAATATTTTTTTTCCCCCTAAGTGATTTATCTGAAATTTCAGCACTCTGTAACTTTAGCCAAAACCAGCCAATGAGACTTATTGTGCGGTATCTCAATACAGGGCTTTAAAAGGTACCCATGTGAGGGGCAGCCCAAGGTGTGAGAATTTCCCCACACACATTGTCTAAACTGGCTCATTCAAAGTGTGGAAGTATCTTGATTTAGAAGAAAATGTGGCAAATTCTTCTCTTCTTGCATAAAGAAAAAGAGAAACCTCTGTGTTTAAGCAAACTCTGTAGCCTTCTGTTCTGGAGGGCTTGACTGAGTAAGAACAGAGACACTCCACCCACGGTAAGGACCTAGGAGACACATGGGCTGGAGGTTTGTCTTGCATTATTTTGATATCTACAGTGCACAGAACAAGGGACCAGGAGAAGACAGGATACAACTCACCCATCTAGATCCCTATAAGCCTAAAATTTCTTGCAGATACCTACGTTTAGCCAGATGAATCCCACCCTGGATGATCAAATCACCAAGTATTTGTCTGTAGCTTTCCTTCATAACTACCTGTTTATATATTCCAATTTCCCTGCAAATGAAACTTATCTTTGATCCCAAATCATTGACACCTTTGGCTCCCAGAGCTGCCTATCCAGTCAGCTGCGTGTCCAGATCTAGCACAAACCATCCCTTCCCCACACACCTCTCTTGCTTTTCCCTGTAGTTGGCTGTATCCTTTCATCTCTGCTACCTACAGCAGTTTTCCAAGTGACTTCATTTCCTCCTTCCTCCTCTTTCATTTCCTCATTAAAAACTGTTTTCCCCCAAGCATCTTCTTGCCTTAACTCATCTGCTTTTGGGCCTGATGTTGGGGCTTTGCACACTGGCAACAATCTCAAAACTAACTGTAAGCTTTAGTTTTACTAAAAGACATTGCTCAGATTGGAAATCTAGCAGCTTCTGTGTCAAAATGAAAAAAAAAAGAAAAGACCCCAAAATAATTTTACTTGTCCTGTCTGATAAAGGGACGAGTTGCATGCTTAATGTACTGAGAAGTGTCAGTATTGCAAATTCTCCTGCGCTGCTAGAAACGATGTGGCTCAAAAACCACCCACGTAACACATCAGGCACAACCTCCACTAAATGGGTTGTGCTAGGAGCATTTTATTTGTCGGAACAGAGATCAAAGTCACTGGCTACTTCAGAGCAGATCCCAGCTGATCCCAAGTAGCATTATCTCCACCCACAGAGGTTGAAGCCCAGAAGGAGCCTCCTCAGTGCACCCAGTTAAGAAGGGCAGGTGGAGATGATTCATTTGGAAATGTAAATCTATAATTTAATCATCAGAACTAGCTGACAGAAGAAACAAGGAAACGGCCTGTTTTGTAGGATTTTACTAACCCTTCCCTGCTGATTCTCACCCTGGACTGCGACAGAGGACATTCCTATAACGGGCCTGTGGCATTCCCTGCACAATGCTCACAGTGTATTGGATGAAAAAGCCAGTGTATAAAAATAAAACATAGTACAAATTAGCTTTTCTATAATCTGTGTGAGCACAGGGGCTCCCAGTTCAGAAACAAACCAACTTCATGAAACAAGAGAAAGATTATTAATAGCCCACAGAGCCTGGCTGATCCATTATGTACTAAATGTAGATGATCCTTTATAAAATAAGCAACGAGAAGCTCATCCAGCTGAATTAAACACATTCAAAATAAAAAGCACAGACCACTAAATCACAGCAGCTGCTCTAGCTCTACAGACAAGGGAGCATGTTCAGTTTTCTTCCCAGCACTCAGATCTCCATCCAAATGCAGAGTAAACAAACCTATACGAACTTTTCAGAAACTCTTATCTACAGTAATACCCACTTCTGCCACCAGGAGATATTTCAGGTGTCTCCTACTGACTGCCAGATATTTTGCTGAGACTGAACGATGTGCCTGTGGTTAATTCCAATATGGTAAATAGAGCTGTTGTTGTATCTAGGGGGGGGGGGCGGGTGTGAAGGGAGGGGGAAAGAGAGAAACTGAAAGAAAGTAACTGAGTTTCAGTGTACAGCCGTAGACAAAACATATCTATAAACCATAGTATCTGAGAAATTTCTGACAAACTACATACCACTACTCTGATCCTGCTAACAAACCAACACGTGAGCCACTTTTTTTTGTCTAAGTAGTCTGGCATTCAGAGTGACTTTGGCACTTGTGTGTGTTATGTGTCAAGGAATTTCAGTAAATACTTTTAAAAGCTCAGCTCATTCAACACTTGTGTATTTTTTCTGCTTGAGACAAGAAAATAGATTAACAAACATCCACTGAATTCTTCTTGGTTCTTAACCCCAGAATACTAAATACTATTCACTGAAAAATGACCCACGGACCAGAATAGGAAATATTTTAATAGTTCCAGATGTATTTCTTAGCATTCTTTCCCCTGTGGTTGTATAATGAATGAGATACCCACAAAAAAAGTATAACATTAACCTCTGTTTCACCTTCCTGTCAGATTTCTAGCACCTGGGAAAATCAGAGGGAAGATTTCTTGAGCCTGGGGGAATCTTTTCACATTTTTCCTGATAAATCTAAACTGATTATGTTTATAGTCAAACACTTATTGTCTATTAGTTTATTTATTCTTTAGGGCTCATCTATAGTAAGAAAGCACCTATCTCATGAAATAAAAATAAGCACTGTAGACCTTTCTCACTTATGTGGGATCACAATATCCCACTTCAATCTGTAGCTATCACAGCCCTGAGTTGTTCCTGCTCATTGGAGTAAGTAAAATACAATGAAGAGGTAACAGAGCAGTATATTAAAGTCAGACAAGGGAATGAGGGATGTTTCGTTACCCTGTCTATCAGACAAGCCTCCCAGTCTTGGTACCAATTCAATCTTCTTAACTCTCACTTGTTGGAAGGGCAGAGAGGATTTCTTCCTTTTTAGAAACATTACTTATTTTGTACTTAACATTTATAGGTCTTGGGGACAGACCCTGAGCCTAAGCAATTTATTCTGGCTCTGCTGTCTTTACCAGAGCCCAGAGAGTTTACTCAGTTGAGTATCCATCCCCCTCTCTATTTCACCATAAAGGGGAGGGGATTTGGATGAACTTTTCTGGACTTGCAGACACTTATCCAGCCAAGACACCCTTCCTACCAACACAGCTAACCCTATAAACAGAGAAAAATCTGTCACCTCTCTCTGTAACACCAATTAAATGCTGCATTACTTCCAAATGAGAGAATGAGGAGGCAAAGGAGAGAGGAGAAGAGAGGGGGGAAAATAAAGCTCTTGGGCAGGATAAAAGAGCTGAAATGCAAAGACGTTTCTACAGACTTACTGTTGCAAGCGAGGAAAGTGCCATTCAGTTCCATTGCTGCAAAACAAGCCGATGCGCAGCAGCAGAAAGGGCTCCGGGAACCAGCTGTGCCCAGATGTTAGCGCTGGCGCGGGGTGGAAGCCAGACCCGCGAGGCTCCCCCCTGCTCTCTGCTCCAGTAATCCCCAACGTCAGCTCCCTTCGGAGAGGCCTGCTCCTTCCCCTTGGCTGGAAATGCGTCTTTGCTCTGACTCCTCATTTATTTCTCTCCCTCATCCGCAGGCCACCGCCTGCCCAGCGCACCGACTGAGGCCAAGCGCCCGAGCCCCAGCGCCGCGCTGGCCCTGGCTCCTCCCCGCTGAAATCTGGCGTCTTCACCGCTGGCCCAGCCTCCTGCATTTTGCTACCGCTGCAGCCTGACAACGATGCTTTTCTTCCTGTTGCTGGCACATTTTCGCACTCTTCTCCTTTCCGGCAAGGCTTCCAGAAGGCGCCGAGTCCTGCAAATCTGTCCTTCGTGTTCCCCAAATCGAGGAAAGGGCCTTGAACAGATAACCACGGTGGGAGTCTAGGTCTAAAGAGCTTTTAGGCACTGGTGGAGGCATATTTCTTTTTGCAGGAGAAGAAAAACGAAACAAAACAAAACAAAAAAAAAAACAACCAAAACCAAACAAAAAGCAAAACAGGTCAGAAATTGCCAATGTAGAAATAGAAGCTGTAACCACAAATGCTTGCAGAGGCATGAGCTTAAAGCATAAGAAAAGTTACAAGCTTTTCACTTGAGACAGCAAGACAGAAAGCAGAAAACACTGCACAGTCCTGAGGCTTTTACTGAGTAGAACTGATTTCTTCCACTCTGTCCCCTACTCTTGAATTAGATGTTTTTTAACAGTAGAGAGGTGATGCTGGCAAACAGGAAGAGGGAAAGAAAGGGAATTCAGTGTGGGAAAATAGTTTCCCTCCACTTGAATGTTTAGGGAGTGTTTTCAGGTATTGTTTTGCTGTTGTTTATTTCTATTTCTGGTTATTTAGGTTATCTTGATGCAAACAATTAATGGAGTTGATGGCAGATTCAAAGCCTTTACTCCTCAGCAGCTGTAAACCTGGTAGTTGCACTGACAGAAGGGAAAAGTCCCTCTCTGATGGTGACAGATATGAGAGACACATGTTGAAAAATACTTTGGGACTAGGACTGTTTGTCCCTCCCTGCCAGGAACTGGGCTGCTCCCTTGAGAGCCCAGACGTTGCTCTCAGTTTTACAGACCACAAATACAAGGCTGCTGCCACCACGCAAAGAAAACTGCCCTAATATAGCAAAACTCCTCATGCCACTACAAAACTAACAAAACCAAACAAGTGGAGAAAAAAAATGAGCAGAGATTCACTCCATGACTCCTCAAAATCCCACTTTTCTACCTCATGGCCACCAGCATGGCATGACAGGGGGGCCCATCTCCCACTAGACATTTTCCAAAGGACCCAGGAAGGAGCGTCCCTTTTGGAAACCCACAGACAAGGAGGCATTGAGTCACACAGGGACAAACTTTGGCAGCGAGGTCAGCTGCTGGCAGGGAAGCAGCTGGAGGCACCCAAGAGATTCCTTGTACAGCCTTAAAAGCCTCAAGGCAGCGGGACCTTACAGCAGGAGGATTTCTGGAGGACACTTCAAAAACCTGTTGCCCTTTCAGCTGATGGGAAGGAGTACTGGAGGGAGTGTACAAGAGGCTGGTGGATGAGTCAGCCAGACTGGAAACTGGCCATTTAGGCTGCTCTGAGCACCGTGGGACCTTTCTGCCACCCTAAGATAAGTCATCACCATTCCTAAATCCTTGATGGGCTTGACGTTGCATGGGTGCTCAGAGCAAGTCTGGCACTGGCAGACAGCCTTGCATTTCTTGCCTTCATCAGAAAGCACAGCAGTCACCATCACAGCCGGTGATATCCTGCATCAAACACCCACAAGCCAAGATCTCATCAGAGCCCTGCTTCAGAAGGCAACGGTTCTTTCAGCTATATTTCTGCATGCACATCATATGTGCTTGAATCCCCTTTCCTTTGCATTGATGACATCTATATATGTCCAGAATAACACTGAAACCTAAGTGATATGAAGAGATGCTGGGCTCCTGTAAAAGCTGCAGAAATCCTACTAACAAACAATATTCTAAGAATAATATAGCAGTTTAAGAATGTCATTTGAATCAAGTCTCTGATCCCCATTTTGTATCACTGCACTTATTGTATTCCTTCTTGGTTTTGATTTTGGCACATTCAGAAGGTGCAAGGTGTGAAGGGGGATTGCCCTCTGCCTAGTTGAACCAGCATCACAGCTGAGTGACAAATTTAAAACGGGTGACAGAACTGCAAGAAGTCAGTGTTCATCTGGAAGCCCTAAGAGAGCAATTAATTTTATAACAAAATGTGTAGTTAAGATATGCTGTAGCTGCTTATTATTTTAAAAGCTGACTGCTTCTTCTGTGTTCTGAATACAGCTCTATCCACTAACTTGCTCACAACCAGTTTTGTGGGCCTTGAACTTCGAGATCAAACCAGGATTTGAAGGGGACAGTTCAGTATGATTAAAATTAAACAGCACTCCTTTGTGCACATTGTCTGTACTCACAGCAGCGGTACTGTTGCTAAGGGTCAAAGTTAAATACACACAATTTATTCTGAGCTGACCAGTCTCAGCATCCATAAGATGGCATTTTGTTACCTTTTTTAGGCACTGCAGGTTTGTCTTCTCTGCTTTAAAAAATAACTTTTACAGTGAAATAATGACAGGACTGTAAAATCTTTTTTTTTATTGCAAGGTAACCGAGCGAGGTGATTGCATACTCTCTGCACATGCTGACTGAGTTCTATTTATTGCTTGGTAAAACTGCCTCCTCCAAGATTTTACAGCAGGCGAGTTAACATGCACTGATTGTTTTGCAGGAGGAACACACCTTTTTTAGCGATGAAGATAAAACCTAACAGAAAAACCTGCTTTCCTGAATTCCACAAATACATTATAGATTACGAGGAGGGCTGGATTTATTCTCTCTGGATTCCTGCGTGCTCCACCCACAAGCAGTGACCTCACTGCCAAGCCCAGCTTGGTGTCTCCCAGCTTTCCGCAGGCTGCAGGTATTACATTTAGTGGCTCCCTGAGATTTAGGAAGCCACTTTATTTCCCTGCCTTTGTTGTCATGGATTTTAATCCCCAAATCATCCTGCCAGGTTGAAGAGGAATGTGAGTAATTCCCTGTGGCTCTCAGCCACAGGTCAAAGGCAGCTCCTGCCCTCCACTTTTCCGGTGTTTCTTGGAGTCTGGATCCTGGCTGCCCACAGCTGTACCTGGACCTAAGCTCCTCCTCAGTACCTTCTCAGATAAGAATTGAAATTATAGTATAAGGGCATGTAAATCAATGAGACAAGCAGTCAGTTTTTGTAGGGCTTCTTGGCCTCGATGCACAAGGTTTGTTCTCCTTCTTTGTATGGGTAGGATCTATAAAATGGGAGTCATATGCAGAATAATGCATTAAAGGGAATATTTAGAAATTCCAGTGCATGAGGGAGAGGATAAGAAAGGACTCAAAGTCTACATTGCAAAATTTTCTTAAGTGTGGAAAGATACCTAGACATGCCAATGACTCAAGAAATAAGCAGCCTGCTATTTTTTATTCCTTTCTCCTCAGTCTTTCCTCTCCAAGGGAAATTCTCCCTTGAGGCTCTGGCACCCAGGAAGGAGGGAAAGTGCAGTTCCTCCATCCAGCTCCCAGCTCTCCCATCCCCTCAGCTGCAGAAGAGGGCTCCCAGGGCTGGAGGAGGGAGCAGGACTCCCATTTCTCATTTGCATTGGAGAGGGGTGCAGGGAGGATGCATTTCTTGAGCAGGAATCTCTGAACAGCAAGAGGCCAGAGGTGTTGTAAGATCCTCTTTGGGGCTTCTTTTTAGACTGTGTGCCTATGGATTTGTTGCACAAGCATGCCAGAGGCAGCAGAAGCTAAGCAGCAGCTCCTCCCAAGTTGCACTCAGGGTGGGGAGATGAGTCTCCTGGGAGGCAGAGAGGGGAAAAGACAGCGTATCACGAAATATACATCAGTCTCTTGGACTATCACAAAAGGCCTTTTCTCACTCCTAAAATTCAGGCTTATGCCAGTGACAACTCTGGTACCTCCAGATCCTGATTAAAGGAGGCACAAAGGCCTCACAAAGCCCATTTTGCTCCACAGCCCTTTAATTTGGCTCAGCCACAGGCCAGACTTAGGCTCAAAGACCTTCCAGCAAAGACAGCAAGAACTGAGCCACACTCAGCTCTTTTCTGCGGCTGTTTAAGACAGGCCTTTCCATTGCACCAATTCACCTTCCAGCCAGAGACTCAAACACTGACATGCACACCACCAGACAAAAGCAATTACATTTCAAAGGAACAGAGAACAAAAAAGCCTGCTTTGGGCACCCTGCTTTTTTTTCTTGTCCACACCATCATTTTCTGAGCTCATCAAGAAGCAGAGTCAGGGCATTTCTAGGCCTGGAGACAGGCTCTAGGGCTGGCACTGCCTTCCCAAAGCAAAGCTGCCACCTAAAGAGTACGAGGTCAGCACAATGATATTTTGCTGAGGGACAAGTCCTAAGGCCAGGACACACCTTGATTAACCCGCTTGCTCTCTAGCCATTTAACTGAGCTTGGAAGGAGTTAAAAGTCAGCCAGGCTGGATGAGGAGCCTGTCTCCCTCTGTAACACACCCTCCAACATGTCCGTATGCAGAGGTGCCAAGATCATGAGCTACACAGGAGTTGTGCAAAGTCAAGAAGAGCTCCCTTTTCTCGCACACCTACACCCCTTTGCATTCTCCTCCTTTGTTTTTGGACACACAGCCCAGCCCAGGCAGCAAAGAACTTCTACAGAACTCAAAGCCAAAAATGTTGGCAGGGTTCAATTCAAGAGCGAACCATAAATCACAGCAAACCCAAAGCAAAGCAGGTTACCTGTCTCCACTCTGAAAGCATGACTCAAGTGTTAATTAATTGTACAGATTGGAAGGAGTAGCTTTTCATCTCAGAGGAATGCTACACCGCCCCATCACCAAGTATTTCCTACCGAGAAGATGCCTCCTGGCTCCCTCTGCCTTTCAGACTCTCACACACACCCTCCTCATCACATAGAAATGTTCCCAACACGTCTCCCAAAGATAACAGCGAACTGCTTTGTTTGCTTTGCAAAAAGGACTCAGGATTTCTGCTGCTGGGACTCAGCAGGAGCGTAAGAAGCATTTGGGGGTTATATGGCCAGCAGGGAGCTTTGGTAGCCACGTGTTATTTTTTTTTGTCAGCAGGAGAATTACTGAAACCAGCACAAAAGAAAA